ATATATATTAAATCACTATGCTTTTCTTTGGGAGAGGAGGGGTAAGAGGTCCAAAACTCTACTTTTGCCTAATTGCTCTTAAAAGTTTTGAGTACTGTGTTAAAGGTGAGTTATGATAGTGAACATCCTTCCCTCGTTCCTAATTTTAGAGGAAAAGCTTTCAGATATTCCCTCCATAGATTTATGATAAATGGTTTTTATCAGATTGAGATAAGATTCTTTTATATCTATTCTCTTCGGGTTTTGATTTTTTTGGTACCAGGGATCAAACTTGGGTACTTGCACTTGTGAGGCAGGTGCCGGAACCACTGAGCTAAATCCCCAGACCTCTTACACGTGTTTAATCCTAAGTGGATATTGAATTTTGTCAAAGGCTTTTTCTGCATCTACTGAAATTATCATGTGATTTTGTCCTTGCCTCTATTTATGTGATATATTACACTTTTTGTAATAAACTATTTCTAGTTCCATCTTACTGCAGAAAGAATGGCCATCATCAAGAAATGACATAACAACAAATACTGGCAACCCTTCTACATTGTTGGTAGGAATGTGAACTACTACATCCACTATGAAAATCAGTATGGAGATTCCTCAAAAACTAAAAACAGCAATTCTGTTTGATGTGGCTTTTCTCCTTCTAGGTATCTTCCTAGAAGAGTTAAAAACATCATATATAGTGATGCATGCATACCCATGTTTATATCAGCATAGTTTTTCTTGTTCTTTTGTTTCACACAACTTTCGTAATAGTTAAATCTTGGAAGCAGCTGCCTACACATCCATGAACAGATGAATGAATGAATAAAATGTGCTATATAAACACAAGAAAGTACTGATTTGCCATAAAGATAAACTTAAATTATCTTAGGAAAATGGATGTACCCGAGATCATAATGTTCAATGAAATAAATCAGACACATAAGCTGTGTATGATTTTTCTTATGAGAAACTCATATTATAAATAGCAAAATAAAAGACAGATAATAGGAAGTAAGGAGACAGATCTTTCTCAAATGTGAAGGGGATAAAGAGATGAAGAAAGAGGCTGGGCATGGTAGTCATGCCTGTAATTTGAGCAATCGGGAGGCTGAAGCAGGAATGCTGTGAGTTCAAGGCCAGCCTGGACTACATAGTGAATTCAAAACTAGCCTGAACTATACAGCAAGGCCCTGTCTCAAAAAATAAAAAACAAAACAAAAGAAGTAGAGGAAAAGGGGAGAGAGGGAAGGGAAAGTAGATGAAAATTTAGCAAGACCTTAAATGATGACAGTATAACACTCTCTGCTCTGTCACCTCAATTAATGAACACATAAGATGTGTGGATACTCACCTAAATTCAACGATGATCTTCCTCTGGGGAAGACTAGAGAAAAGTTCACTTTTTAATCCATAGTTTGAACCATCTTCAATTACTTGTTGTAGCACTGCCTAGAAAATAAGCAATGAGATTTAATGACAGAAAATATTGTGGTGTTCTTAATTACTTTGTTACTGGGAATTAAATGTTACTAATTTGTTCATTCTCATTTATGGAGCTGAGAATTTTATACCAATGTGAGCAGCATCACCTCCAGCACCACCCTCCCTTGTTGCTAATGCTTATTAGAAGAGTCACAGTAGATAATGCTGATCCCCTGAAATCAGTAAATCTCCACTCTGAATTCCTACAGAAAATAATGATATAGATATTTATAGATGAGGAAATTGAAGCTTACTGAGATGAAGTAACTGCCACAGGCTGCATAGTAAATGATAACAAAACCAGAAGGAATATCTAATATTTATTGAGTGCATATTATGTGCCAAGGACTGTGCTAAGCATTTTGTATGTACTAGCTCACTTAATTCTCACAACAGCCTCAGAGAGATCAATAGTATTTTTATAAACAAAGAAAGAAAAACAATGAGAGATTAAGTCATGCAGAAAATATTTTTCCCACTGCATACAATAAATGTTTTAATTAATTAGTACATGTATGTAGTTGCTGCATTCGTGATATTAACATTCATAAGTAACGGTAGGAAACAAGACATATAATTAAAAACCAGTCACAAACAAGAAAATCTTGTAGAAACTTCCAGAATACGTTCTAGGTTAATTTTCAGTTACTAATGCAGAACTATAATATAGTTCACAAAATTCATACTGTGCTTTCTGATAGTGATGATGTGTTTTTCAAAATGTAGGATTTTGAAACTATCATCATAAACTTTTACTTACACTGATATTGGTTTTGCTTCACCAACTATATTTTTGTGAATAATTTTATTACCAAAAGAGATGGTTAGGATGTTCACAAACAGAACAGAGAAGGTAACAGCAGGCAATGAAATATTAGCCAGTAAGTAAAAAGCAGTATCCACAGAGGGCTAGATGAAGTGCTTTCTATATGTTTACCCCATATAATCTTAAACATTTCCTAATTAATGCAAAACTAAGATTCAGAATGTGTACTTATTCAAGGATACAGAAAATAGTACTGTTTACTCACAGTGTACAGCAGAAAACAAAGAGGAAGAATTAATATACAGACATTAAATTGAATAGTATCAGTCATACTGTAGGGGCCCAATAAGTTTAAGAAGATTTTTAAACAGAGAAGTAAATACTACTGAGAAGGAATCCATGTTCAGATTATTTAAACTTAAGGTATACAGATTTTTTCCCCACTTCCCGTCCCCTTGTATGAAATGAATGGTAGATGCCATAAAAGTTAGTAACAATGTTAGAATTCTCCTTAGCAAATTACCTTCTGTTCACTGATTTCTCTGGCACAAACAAAATAAACCACTCCAATGAAAGATTCTTATTGCCAGTGAGACTCACCTGATATCTAGCTTCTTTTTCTACCATTTCACTGAACTATTCACAGAATCAATATTGTTTAACTACCAAACTCAATTGAATGCTTAATTTTTTATGCTTTTATAAATACAGTCTTCTTGAAAAACTAAAAAATTAAGCATTTAAGATAAGTCCTACTTTAGCAATCTGTCTTGTGCTACACATTGATGAATATATATTCAACTCAGGATTAGATATGTCTGACTGGCATTTCAAATGGAATATACTTGCTCTTCCTTCTACACTCTATTTCCATAAACTTCCCTCCCACTCACCCAATTAGCCAAGTCAGATAGGCATTCCTAATATTTACTCTTTTTCTCAACCTCCAAAACCACCAAGCCCTGTACATTCTCTCTTCTAAGTATCATCACAGGTATTCCCTTGGCCTCTTTTAGATACTTATCTGTCAGCTAAACCACTGCAAAAATAATTACAACAAAACAATACTTCTTTTCTTAATTACTTTTGGGGAGGTGCTGGGGACAACACAGGGCTTCACGCACATTCTACCACTGTACTACATCTCCAGCTCTCTATAAAAACACATGTTTAATCAAGTATATGATCTATTGAATCCTTTAGTGATTCTCTACAATTTAAAAGATTTTACTGGCCAGGTGGTGCATGCTTGTAACCCCAGCACTCTGAGAGATTAAATTAGGAGGATTTCAAATTCAAGGCCAGATTAGCAACTCAAGTGAGACCCTTACTGAGGTCTCAAATTAAAATAATAAAAACAGTGCAAAGACACTGGGTTCAATCACACTACCATCAAAAAAGAAAGGAGGGAGGGAGGGAGAGAGAAAGAGAGATTACTTGACATTAAATCAAAAGAAACTTGATAAGACACTCAGTTTTGTTTTTTTGTTGTCCTTGTTTTGTTGTTTTGTTTGTTTTTCGAGACAGGGTCTCACTATGTAGTTGAGACTGACCTGGAACTCACTATGTAGTCCAGGCTGGTCTCGAACTCACAGTGATCCTCCTGCCTCAGCCTTCCAAGTGCTGGGATTACAGGCGTGTACCACCACACCTGACTTTTTATTTGGTCATAAACTCTTTGAGGCCAGCATCCACACCATTTAATCTTTGGATCTCAGTAATATAATCCCTACCAGAGCTCCTCTGGCAGCACATACACTAAAATATAATCCCTACCAAATAATCAGATTAGTGTGCACAGAAATGAAAACTTTCAACTACAAGATGCCACTTTGTGTTTAAGACCACACATTTTTTTTTTTTTTTTTTTTTTTTTTTGGTAACGGGGACCTTGTGCTCAGGACTTTGTGCTTATGAGGCAGGTGCAGTGCCTCTGAGCTACATCCCTGGCCCAAGACCACTCTTTCGTTCTGTGCATTCAGAGAAACCACCTATGACTTTAATGCATCCACTGCCTATGGTATGCCTATGAGCAAAAACTCAATTTGTAAATGAGACAAATGGAGTGATTTAAGTTAGTATCTCTTTCTGTTTTCCCCTTTATGGTAGAGCATACAAAAGTGAACTTATCAAATAAACTGTAAGATATACCTAAGAAAATAGGGTTTTGTCTGCATTATTTCCATTTAATTAAAACTGTATTTTCTTTTCTTCCTCTTAACTGAAAAGAATATTACTCAAAGTTATAGTTTTTCTGGAAAGTCACCTGCAACCTACTAATAGAAGGAAGCTTGGTACCAAAGCGATAGTTTTTCACAATGCCACTATGGTTACTCCTCAAGTAGAGAACAATTAATTTGTTGTTGGTCCTAAAAAGGGCTGAATTTTTTCTTGATATGATTTGAAAAATTCACTAGATGTGCAGGTGACCACTAAGACTTGAAATTAATAAAACAATGCAGAGGAAATTAAAATTATAAGATGTAGCATAGGTACATTTCACACTTCTTTCTCAGAATTGGGTGTCACTGCTCTAGGATGTATTTTTACTATGACACTGAGCAGGGCTATTGTAAGCAATCCATTCGATCCTTTCACGTAAATCACACTAAAATTCAGATTCTAATAGTTGCAATAAAAGGAGAATTTCCACAAGAAAACAAGCAGCTAAACTTCAAAGTTTTAATTCTTGTCCTTTCACTGTCAATTGAGGAGGATTTAGAAATATTTTAATAAGTGAGTATTGGCTATCCTTATACCAGAGAAAATTCTGTAGTTTGTGACTTGTAATAAAGATAAAAATCAATTGCCATTAAAATGTTATATAATGTAAATATATGCTTTACATCAAAATATAAATGTTACCTCTTTCAGCTAAATTTGCTTTAAAGGCAAAATTTCATCTACAATAAGGTATTTTCCTTTCTTAGGGAAAACAAAAGAGGGAAAATATTGTTCAAGTGGCTTCACATCTGGAAGGCACATTTTCACAAACTGCATTTCTACTTCCATAAAACTGAAAAAATAAGCAGGGCTGGTGGCACAAGCCTGTAATTCCAGCACTTGAGAGGCTGAGACAGGAAAATTCCAAGTTCAAGGTTAGCCTGGCTACACAGTGAGTTCAAGGTTAGCCCAGTTTACAGACTGTTTCAAAAAACAAACAAACAAAAAAAACCTTATAGCATACTTTGAATTAGGTAACCTTGGAATGAGACTACATTAATGGAAATTTTGGTTTTATAGCTATTTTCCCAAGACTATATCATTTGCTATCTGAGAGAATACTGAGTTATATTTCTTTATAAAAATAAGAGTTCAAAGTATGCATTATGATAAATTTTAAGATGCAATACAAATGAAATTCACCTAAAGGTCTCATACTACCAGCTACCCAGGATTACCTGTCCTCCAAGGTCTGACTGGAGCCATTCTTCTATAAGATTTCTCCAACTCTCTGGGGCAGTGATGGCGAACCTATGGTATGTGTGTTACTTGTTTTTCTTTGAACACAAATGATTGAGTTTTTTCTAAACTAAAATCTCAGTATTTAGCTTTAATGGCAGTGTTGGCGCTTTATGATAAATAAGTGGGTATTGGGTTGTAGTTTGGGCACTTGTCTCTAAAAAGTTAACCATTACTACTCTAGGTCCTCCTGATTTCTCCATTTCTGATCTTTCTTACGCTTACTGAATCAAACTCCTCTTTTTGTTCTGATATTGTTTTATTAAAAGAAAAGCTGTTTTGGGGGTTCTTTATAAATCATATGCTTCCAACAGACTGTAGGCTAGTAAGAAGTAGAAACCAATATGCTTTTCCTGTATTCAATACACAGTCCAGCTATTCATTCAACAAATAGTTATTCAACAGTGAGAAAAACAGATGTTATAAACCTAATGGGAAATAGTTTAAGGGGCAAGTGACATTAAAAAAAAAATAGAAGGAATGTAAAATAGCAACTACAACAAGTTCTATAAAGGAGAGAAAAACAGTGCTGTGAGAGAATATAAATGAAAAGATCAAAAAACTACTGCCAAGAAAATATCAAGAGCTGAAGGGTAAGAAGTTCTTAACTTAAGAGTACACTCCAGGTAGGAGGATTAGTATGTGCAAATGTTGTGCAGCAAGAGGCTGTATGATGAATTTCAGAGTTAGAGGACGATCAGCCTCACCAAAGCAGAAAGACTAAAAGCATAATGGCTGGATAATAACGCATTCTTACCTTTGTTAATACTTCTCTGTTTATTTTGAAATTTATAGTCCCTGGGCCAGTGCTGATCTCACTCACCACTGTGTCACATTTAAGCTGAAAAGATAACAAATAATGTAAAATAGGTATGCTATATAATAAGCCTAATGAGATACAAAGTTCTAATACTATAAAACTGACTTACAAAGGGAACATATATGTCATCTCTCAGTCATTGCAGCTGGACCCCTGTCTTAGCCAATCTCTTTAGACTCATCATTTTATTTAGGTAAAAATATTTTCTTTTTTTCCTGACTAAAATGCCATTTTATACTCACAATCTTTCCTCTCTTTCTTCACCTCAAATTTTCCACCTGTCACACAATAACCATTTTATTTCACCCATCTTTCATAAGAGCCACAGGACATGACATTCTATCAGGGCCTACATTAAGCATTTAGACTAAATGGATGTAAACAGGCTGTTTCACGTGGGCTACATAGTGAATTCCAGATCAGTCTCAATTACACAGTGAGACCCTGTCTCAAAAAAACCAACAAACAGGCTGTTTTTCCGCATATGCCTTCAACTGCTTCTCTTGCTACGTGCTCAAACTCTCCTATAAACCTATGGAGATACCTGTTGTCTTTATTTTTAAGAACTTACAAGAGCCACTAGTCTTTATTTTTAAGAACGTACAAGAAATGGAAGGAAAGAAGTTAAATTTTTAATTGAACTAATTCTACACCTAGTGTGCCTCCTGATAAAAATTTGAGGTGATTTTTGCCCCTCAAGACCATAATGTTAAATGAAATAAATCAAACAAGTTTAAATTATCAAATGGTTTCTCTTATATGAGAAATCTAAAATATAAATAAAACAAAGAATAGGTAACGGAAATAGGGAAATCTTTTTCAAATTGAAGGGGAACAAGAGATGGAGATGAGAGGGAAGTAAGAAAAAAGGATTTAAACAGAGAACTAAAGAAAAAATAGAAATATAGCTTTTTCAAATAGAAAAAGGACCAAGAGTTGGAGGGAGCAGGGAAGTATGGGAAAGGAAGGGGGCAAGAAAGAATTAAGATGTAGTATACCCATGTACAAACTCATGATAAATGTAATTATTATGAATTGCAAACATACTAATAAAAAAATTGAAAAATATCTACTCAGCTACCAAAGCTCCTTTATCATTCTCATTCTTTAAACATCTTTTTTATGATAATGACTTTTACTGTTCTAATTCTTCACTTCCAGATAGGTCCTGTGCATCATATGTAATAACTTAATTAGTAAAATAAACAAGAAAACACTAAGAAAACCAAAAAAACTTGTTGAATACCTGCCTTTTGGAGAGTATTACACTAATCATTTTGGTCATTTTTAACATATAATTCTTCTTTTAGATGCCAAACACATTAAAAAATACAGAAAGTTTATTAAATTATCTAACAACTTATTCTCTGTAATCATTATTCTATTCATATCTAATAATTTCTCATCATACTTTAACATTGCTATCAGAAACTCACTTAAAAATTGCAACCCACTGCTCTAATTTATCAGGCTTGTTTTCCTCAATTCAAAAGTTTACCCAGCTTCCATTTATAAATTTAACTGACACTTCAGTCCTCCTGTAAGTGGTTAACCAAAAAACTGAAAAATGTCAGCTCATATTACAACTAATATGAAAAATTATTGTAACCTTACAGGATGTACATGGGTAAAATGGGTTCAAAAATTTTTTTCAAAGATGACTTGAACTAGAAGACTATTAAACTCATTCCTGTAGCTGAGATAGCCTGCCGAACACCTTGTTCTTTAAAATGGTAAGCTTATTATAATATAAAATAAAGATTATAGTGTTCAAATACCTTCTCTGCCAGTCTCTTGGCTTGAACTATATTATCTGGTCTTGAATGGTCATTTTTGTTTTCCAATAAGGAATCCACAGAAAGTTGAAAATCAGCTACTTCTCTAAAAACAAACATTGAGAAAGGAAAGTGCTGTTATTACAAAAACTACTAGTATTCTCCACAGCAAAACAATTTTTTCAGAAATATTGTGCTTTCAAAATTGAAGGAAAAGAAGTTAAAAATCACCTTATATTTAAAGTTTCTAAAAAATCACTGGTAAAAATGTTTCCTCTTATATAATTGTAATTTTATGTTTTCTTTGTGATATATGTAGATGTCTGGCAAGTTCAATGTCTTCCCTCAAATCCTACTAATGCTAAAGACAATTAAGCTAGTTAGAAATATTATAGGCAGTCAGACAGGGCGAGGACCTCAAAAAAGTCAGTGCAGAAGATAAGAACACATTACAATTTGGATGGAGATGCTTTTGTTGAAGGTCAGGCCTCAAAATAAAGATAAAATGACTACACCTACTTACTTTCCCAAGGGATGAACAACAATGATTGGTATTTTAAATAAGCATCAGTCACCTTGGGTGGGGGACTAATCCTGACCCATCCCTTCCAGGAAAGGGCCTTGTCCTTTCCATGTACACTTGCTACATGACTTGCTTCCCCATTAGATCAGTATTACCTAAGCAACCATACTTGTAACCTTATTGGTTGATCACAGTTTTGTTTCACCTTGTACCCACCTTGTGATTTCATACCCACCTCCTGATTGTGCTCTATTAAAGCCTCCCCTGAAAGTGGAGTCCAGAGCAACCCACTTTCCAGGTCAATTCCTATCCCTTTCAGGCAGGAGCTGTCTATCCCTCAGTAAACATTTTCTATTATTAACCTCTATTGTTCCTAGAATTCAGCCCTCAATTTTAGAGAACATGAATTCAGCATATCAGACAACTAACAGATAGGGAGTTATATCTATTTCCCCTAGATTACTATAATAAACCAAACTAGAGAAAGGCCCCCATCTCTTGACTTCTATAATTTTTTTCCTCTACTATTCCAAATGTTTGCCTCTAATTCTTGGTCCTCCAAATAATAAAAGCAATTTTTCCCCCTGCACTGGGGCTGGAACCCAGAGGCTTTATGATGAGTTAAATCCCCAGCCTTTTTTATTTTGAGACAGAATCTTGCTAAGTCATTAAATTGTTCAGGCTGGGCTCAAAAATATTTTTTAAATGTTGTCCTTAGAGTTTCAGCATGAGGAAAAAATTGATTATTCTTAACACACAATAGTTATCAGACAGACAGACTAATAAACGCCATTTATTCTCATTAGGTTGATGATGGAACAATGCAAAAACAAATACAACACAGTCAATTAGTGAAAATAATCATGTTTGATGAGAGTAGTAATAGCTAAGGAAAGAAGGTAGGGAATGGAATCAAAGAAGTACATATCAGCGACATGAATAGTATTTGCAATGTTTGTTACTAAAAACAAAAATCAACAGCCACCTCTCTCCTGTGGATGGCTGGGGGACAGGGAAGTCTTGAAATAAAAATGGAAAAGATCTAAGATTTGACAACTTAGGTGACCACTGACAGTGTATGCTATATTATTTTCTATTAGTTTTTCTGTAGGTTTGAAATAGTTGAAGGTATAGTTTTTTTAAATTAACACACAAACATCTACATAACTATCTACACCAATATCTTTTGATGTTTAGTAAGGAACCAGAGAGTAGGAATAAGTGGGTTGTACCAGTGTCTGTCCAGCCTGTGTGTCATGCAGAGAGAAGCATAAGCGATTTTTTTCATCTCACTCATGAAAGTCAGGAAATTGCCTAAAAATTTCTGTGTTGCTTCTGGTTCACATCACATTAAAACACTCAGTCTACAATAACCACTAAGAACTTCTCTGGAGCTGGATGTGGTGGTGCATGCCTGTAATTCCAGTACTTGGCAAGCTAAGTCAAGAAGATCTCTGTGAATTCCAGGCCAGACTGGGCTGCACAACAGTTCTAGGGCAACATGAACTACACAGCGAGACACTCTGGAAAAAAAAATCTGGGTCTTAATCATTATCTAGCAACTTAGCATGAATCATACATATCAACCCAAACTCACCTACTGACACCTGAGCTGTAACACACAGCCTAGTTTATCTCAAATCAGCATTTATGTGATGTGATTCCAGGCAAATTTAACCTCTCTGAACCTTGATGACAACAGTGACCACTTCATGGTTTTGGTGAGAAACCAAATCTGGTTATAAATTGTAGTTCCATTTGACCTAGCCATTCCTCTTCTTGGTATCATCCCAAAAGAATGACAAGTATCATATTACAGATATATATGTACATCTATGTTTACAGCAGCACGGTTCATTAGCTAAATCTTGGAAACAGCCCAAATGCCCATCAAATGAATGGATAAAGAAGATATATTTTTTTTCCACACAATGGAGTACTACTCTGCCACAAAGAAGGATGAGCTTGAGGTATTTCTAGCTAAATGGATGCACCCTGACACCATACTCTTAAGTGAAATAAATCTGACACCCATGTTCAAACATTGTATGGCTTCTCTGGTGTGAAAAACCAAAAGGGTAAATAAGGACCAAAATGTATAATAGATATTATGAAATAGGAAGAAAATGTTCAAATGGGAAGGGGAATTAGAGAGGGGGAGGAAGAGAAAAAAAGGAAAAAGAAAGCTTTTGTAAATAAGGAAGGGAGAGGGGTTGAAGGGAGGGAAGAGGAACGTGAAGAAAAGAAGAATCAAGATATATCATATACAGACATTTTGGTCTTTGTGGGTTGGTAAGGCCTTTGGTCCATGTGGCACAAAAGTAGGAGGGCCACTTCCTTGCACATCTTTGGAAAGTGCACCTTCCTCATCCTTCAGAAAGCTCAGGGGCCCCAGGACTCATCCTGAATTCTAGAATGATACTTTGGTCACAGCAATAACAGTCTAGTGCTGTGTCGTTTTCCCCAGTAGCAGATTTTAAAGAGACCAAATTAGATACAATCTTCCATTGAAGACGACAAACTGGATGGTGAAGAAAGTCTGTCTAGAATAAACCTGAGAAGATAATGAACAGATAGAGACAGCAAGACTTTGGAGGCAATCTATCTCCAACAAATACTGATTGAGGAAAAAACAATGAATATAAGAAAATTAGAAAAATCCTTCCTTTTCTCACAGACCTTATTTCTATTACCATTTTAAAATTTTCAATTCAAAAGACAATTAGGCTTAATCATGAGGGAAGCTGTGTAGAAAAGAATCATTAATTTTGTTAATTTGAAAATTTTCACCAGAGTTTACTCCTTGCAGTAATAGCAACTTGTAAATCAGTGCAGAAAGGCTTTTGTGCCCTGTCTGACAGCAGAGCATTTCCCACTGGGAATGTAGGCAAACATTTATTCACATGCAATGTCTCACTGAACTGAGAAGTCATGCTGAAGAGACACCCTGTACTTCTAAGGAATATTAAAAAGTCATTAGCTAGATGACAGATCTCATTGAACTACAGAAAATTCATGCTGGGGAGAAACCAGTGAATAGAGCACAGCCTCATTGAATATTAGAATTTTATACTGGATAAATAGCTTTGAATGTGCTATGTAGGATAAAATTGTCTCCCAAACTGTACTCCTTATCCTCAATTTGAGAGGTCACACATAGAGAAGCCTCATAAAATTAAAAAATGTGAAAATATCTTCAGCTAAAAGTAAATTCTCATTCATCAACAAATTCATACTGCTGGGCACCGCCATCACTAAAGCACCAGAAAGGTAGCCGCACAGGTGCCCCTGAACCCCCATAACTCCTCCAAAATCCCCAACCCACCCTCGCACTCTCAGACCTTCTGACTGTGCCAGTCTTTGGACCCACTCAGCAGAGGCAGAGGTGGTCATAAAGGATATTTTTCTGAGTTCCCAACTTTGAACATCTTTAAAGAAAGGGCATGGGAAACCTGTTGTAAAATGGTGTGCAGTTCAACCATTCAGGAGGTCAGGGAACTTAATCTGGGCCTTGCAGCCCGAGGTCAATCTGCATCGTGGGGTTCTGCCACCAGTCGGCTGAGATCAGGGATCTTGGTTCTACACATCACTGTGCATGTTGTATATTATGACAGCATAGATATAGTCTGAAAGAGGCCCTTCAAATCCTTTTTTTTTTCTTTCTTTTCCTCATTCCACTCTCAAATTCTTTCTCTGTTCTGTCCTTTCTCCAACTGAGTCTCTTGCTCCACCATATTGTCCCTCATCTCCCTTTCTGTTTCTGCTCTTGCCCTAACTCAGATTTCTTCTTTTATCATTTTTTCTCTTTTATTTATGTTGTTTTCTTCTGTCATTCTACCTCACACAGGGGCCAGTGGTTTCAAGGGAAACTGAGCCCCTATTATTGTTAAGGGGATATATTCTTGTTCTTGTACTTTTACTCTTGACTATCCCTTTCGAATTCAACAGTTTCCTGAATATTGTGTGGTCATTCTATGTCCTCTGGCTTCACTTGAAACCTTCTCCAATTCTTTTACTTATCTACTCCTCTTATCCTAGCTCTGTCTGAGCCCCAATCCTAAATGGTATATATACTACGTTGAAAACTTTATTCACTGCAGACATGCTTTGGACTGCTTCTTGATTTCAATTTAATTCATGTGTTTAAGGGTGATAGGCTAGTGACTATAGCAAGTGGTCAGTTTCCAAGTAATGCTTGATCATATTGTGTTGCTGATTGTATTAGTTGGGATAAAGGATTGTGGTTGATTTGATGAGCTGTTTTCTCTGATGTTATGAAGATGAGAATGTCTGTGGGTCGTTAGAAACCCCAGAACCTAGGGTGCAACTAGATTTGGGTGATAACCCAGAGATTAAACCAAGGACAGCCCAACAACAAAAATAAAAATGAGAAAACACTTAAGCAAGACACAAAGACAGACTTCCAGTTCACTAATGGCAAACAGTAGGGCAAATGAGGATGAAAAGGCCAATAGTGAACCACCAGGACACCCTGAACTCAAAGTACAGGAAGTAACAAAATAGATCAATCAGGCTCTAGAAAAATTCAAAACAGAAATAATTTCCCAAATAACCATGGAGAT